ACAAAGGTTTAGTCAAAATGCTTTTTGAAAGTTGAAAAGTATGAAAATGTTGATGTATGATGCAGATAACGATAAACCTTGCATATGCTGTGTACAACAAACCCAAGATAACATCTTCTGCACCTTCATGAGAAGAGTATTCAGGGCTGCCTTGGTTTGTCAATTGCTGCTTAGCTTCCTCTGATGACTTTGATCTAATGTCACGGAAATTCTAGAAGCCAGTCCCCTGGATATGCTGTCCTCTTGACCTCCTCCCCCTCTCCCATGTCTACCATTTCACCTCTCTCCTCACCGGACTGTGAAAACAGACACTTAGCTAGAGGAAAACAAGCAGTTTACTGCCCTGCCTTGCCAGAGGTTAAAAGTTTGGGGGGGGGGGAGAGAAGGCAGAAACCCTGCCTCAGATAACAGAAACTGAACATCTGTGTGCTTAGGTAGAGCTGTCAAGTTTCTGTGCCCTATGTTCCAGTCTAGCACACATGCAATTTTGTTGTAATAAAATAAAGGTATTTATATTTCAAATATCATAAATATTTCAGATAGTACAATTGTATATGCCAGTGATGCACCTTAACATTTCTGAAGTAGTAGAATAATTTCAGGGTAGAGCAGAAAGTAAATAAATAAATTATGCATGGTGCAATGTTTCCCAGAATTTCCTCCCCCCTCGGAAAAACAGGATGCGTGGAAAACCACTTCCCCACCATGGCGTTAACATTTTAAGAAAATTCATATCCAGGTGTCATATGGCTATGTAAGTTAGGGAACTTCTGTATACATTAGCATGATTCCAGACAAGAAATATGGATTTCATTTTATGCTATTATATAAATGTTAACATTGTACATATATTATTTCAGCAATCTTTACAACAGCCCTAAAAGATAGGGCAGTATTATCAACATAAAGGAGAAGTGTGGGGGGAGGGAGTCTGAAGGTGAGAGTGTGGATTGCCCAAGGCCATTTGGCAAGTTTATGGCAGAGTTGAGATTCAGACACTTTCCTAGTTTGCTGCTCAGTTTATTTGCCACTGTATTTCACTCTCTCTGGTGCAACAGCATCAGACCTTGATATGAGCTTCAGCAACATGATCACAAGGACAGGATACTGCAACTTTCCAGCAAAAGTCACATCCAGCACTTTAAAAAAAACCCTCCCAACTTAACAGCCATAGCTGCAGGGTATTGCAAATGGCAAGGCAGTGTACATGGTGGCACTGCCATCTGTGCTCCTGACACCCACATCAGGCACACATAGCTGACAGTTAGCAGACCCGGAAGCCTTAGCCCAACTGAAACCAAATATGTGGGCAAGAGAACCGGGAACAACTGCAGCAAAGTCATAAAGACAGAAATGTGTACAGGCACCTTGGTTAAATTAGCACATCGGGAACAATAAATGGCTGGAACCGGATGGTGAAACTAAGAGGTTTATTTCAAGGCAAGCAACTGAGTAATGACTAAACTTATTCCCCACCCCCACCCCAATCCCCAGTGTCAGCACTGCAATAAGGGAAGAAAGTTGAAAGAATAGTAATTTGAGCCACTTTGTAAAGACTGGCTAAGATGCAGCAGGATCAGTCAGATTCTGAGCAAAGGTCCCAAGAAAAGCATTATTTTGAAAGAAACGGCCTCCATTACCCCATATTCAAAATGTCAAAAACTGCTGAGAGAATTTCTGCCAGCAAGTTACGAAGGGGATGCACATCACCTCCAACCCTGTACTGTGCACCAACTAAATGGGACCAGACTGCATGCTCAGTTTTCAAGTCTTTACATTAACCAATGTCCATTTATAATAATTCTTCGGACATCACAGAAAAAGCACGAACTACACACATAACACAGATTTTTTTAAAAGGACCCTTGTATGAGGAAGTGAGGGGGCAAATGCTGTGGAAATCAATATACTGGAAACAGCAGAGCAGGGAGTAAGAAAGCATAAAACATTCCAGAGCAAACAGGAAGGGAAAATGGAACATGAGGAAAAGAGCAAAGGGGACCATAATGTAACTGGTCAGATATGCTACCTTTGATATATTTTAGCCACCTTCCTATTGGCAAAGAGAGAAAGGTACTGGTGCTAAAATGTCAATTTGTACATGCAATGAGAATCAGAAGTCATGGCACAATAACATAAAAGAGATGGCAGCAGCATTTCTAGTTAGCATATGCCCTAATTTTTCAAATATGGTAACAGAAGCATAAACGGGACTGGGGAGGTTTTCTAAGAGCTTCATTTTTCTTTCTTTCAAGACACAGCTGACTTATGGCAATCTCATGGGTTTTCAAGACAAGAAACATTCAAAGGTGGTTTGCCATTGCCTGCCTCTGCATTGCAGCCCTGGGCTTCCTTGGGGCCGCATCAAAATACTAAACATAGGCCCTTGCCACACCGGGGGGGGG